CGCAACCACTGTGGACGGACTACCTTCTCGTAATACTGCCGCCACTGCTCGGCAGTTTGGTTCCCCTGATTCTCAGCCCACCCATCCCAAGCTGAGATCCAGTCGTCTTGTCCTTCCACGCCATCGATGATCGGTACAAAAGCATAGCACTCCAGCCAGTCGTCTGTGCTGAACATAACTTCTAACTCTTCCACACTATAGTCGCGGTTTGCTTTTGCTTTGCCCTTGTTATCGAGATTGGTCGCACTCGGAGCCTGTTCTGTTTTAGGTGTTTGCTGTTCTGTAGGCTTGGAGGGGGCTGGAACTGGGGGCATACGTTCGTTCGACTGATCGGAAGGAGGAGACGGAGGAGCGTTATCAGGTATTGTGAAGGCCGAGAGCGGACGTTTGCTAAGTGTCTTGACCCATCGGTCGCGCCATGACTGCCATGTATGCCGTGGGTACTGTCGTTCGTTAGCGACCACTGGCACGCGCGTTTTCTTTGTTGGCGCATACCTTGGCTTCGAGCTGCTTGTATAGCTCGTTCCCACTGACGGAAGCGCCTTTTGATTGGGCGTCGCGCACCCATTTGGAGAGTATCCTATCTTCCTCTGCTGTGTATGCGGTCCTTCCGCTCTTGGTGGGTTGGTGGATGGAACCAGCCTCTCGCGCCTCACCTAACGGCGGTCCGGCTGTGTAGTCTTCGGGATCCTGGAGTTCTCCCTCCTTGATGGACTTTTCTATGAATTCATACGACGTTGATCCTGGGGGACAATCTCTCCGAGCGTGGTCGACGATGAGGTAGTCCGCCTTCTTCTCCAACGCAACGATCTCTCCGCCATTGGCCTTGATGTCGTCCAGCAGCCGTTTCCGCGACGCTACGCGCTGCGCAACCCAGAACTTCTTGGCAGCGAATAATTGGCCGCCTGATGCGAAATCGAAATCCTCGGCGACGTCGGTGTATACGGTCGGCCCAGCCATGGTGGGGTGGTGTTGTCGGGTTATGGTGGTGGTGAATGACGCGTTGGCTCAGGCGCGACGCGTGCTCACATGGGATGCATGATTCACGCGGGGTCGCTTAGCCTCCGCGGCTGCTCAGCCCTATCCGACGCTTGCGCTGTCACTTCTGTGAACTGACAGACAGAGGGCGACGTGATGCCATAGAGTTTCGATTCGTGTCTTCATTCTGTTCCGCCATGCGTAGTGTCGCACTCTGCTGGACTCTTTCACCATGACCGTCGCCCGCACCATCATCATCTTCACCATCACCGTGTCGCTGGTGACCTTTGTAGCTTTCTTTGGACGACTGCCGGCTTTTAGGTATCTACATCCCTCCTGCTGACATCCACTCCTCTAATACGCCCAGGAACACGCCCATAGGCTTCCTTAACCGCCTCTTCCTCATTCACATCCCCTCCGCGTTCCGAAAGCTCGACCTCGCCCTTACCAATGGCCGCATCACCAATGGCGGCTCCCGCCTGGGCAGCTACCTCATGCATGACAAGCACCCGCTGGTCGTCATCTTCTTCCTCGGCCTCGTAACCGCATGCGCGGCGCTGTTCCTGCCCACCGTTTGGCACCTCATCCGACCGCATCACAAGCTCCTAGCCTTCGTTCTGCTGCCGCAGCCGTACATCTTCCTGTATCTCAGCGCTAAGAGCAACAGCCAGACCTACATTACCACACTCAACCACGCCGAGCAAATGCGACACTATCCGTACGACAGGGTGCTGTACTATCCAGGCACGCCATGCCGGACGTGCAAGTTCTTGAAGCCAGCGCGGAGCAAGCATTGCAGCATATGCAAGACATGCGTTTCGAGGATGGATCATCATTGCATTTGGGTCAACAACTGCCTAGGAAGGGGCAACTACAAGTGGTTTCTAGCCCTGTTGCTATCCACCGGCATACTGATTGCTTACGGCGCATACCTGGCTTACTACAGCCTTTCGCCATTGGTTCATAGACACTACCTGAAGTACGAGGGATGGTATAGATACAGCCCCAAGCAAAGCGTCAACACGAAGAGCTGGTTTGGTTACTTTGATAGGAAGACTCACTACTTCCTGATCTACACAACCATCTACCTTGACATGGGCGGTGTGCGCGGGTCTGGGGTCGGATTGCTGGCTCTTCTCACATGGCCGCTTCCGTTAGGCCTGCTCGCATACCACGTCTACCTGATCTGGGCCGGCATGACTACGAACGAGAGCGCCAAGTGGGCGGACTGGCGAGACGACATGGCCGATGGCGTCGTTTTCCTGGGCCATAGGCGGGAGGATACCATGCAAGAATATCGCTCAGCAGCGCCTGCACGGGAACACGCACATGCCTCCGCACATTCTTCTTCGTCGACGTCACCCTTCCCGACTCCTCCGGAAACCCCGCCAGAAGACGAAGAGCCGCCAACAACATGGCCGCTGGAAAGCAGACACATTCTCATCCGCACGCGAAATGGTCAACCACCTAAAACACTTCCGAGCCGCATACAGTCAGTAGCTAGAGAAGATAGCTTTGAGCGGGTGTGGAATCTGGCAGCGGTAGAGAACGTGTATGATTTGGGTTTCTGGGATAACCTTGTGGAGGTGCTGTCGAACTGATGTATACTTCGAATCAGATTCTTGTACCATCATGATAAATATTTTCATGGATTTTGGCATGGCTGGCTTTTGAATCCATTGTCCTTGGGTCTATATATTGCTCGTCGAACCATCCACAACCCTTCTTCGTTCCCACCTTCACAAGCACAGCGTTCCAAATGTCATTCACGTTCGACCCATGACCTTCTCTCTTAAGATCTAAATGCTAAAGCACATCGCGCATGTACTTGTGGCATTCTGAAAGCCGGCTTTAGGCAATTTGGGACAAATGTCTCGCAGTTTCGATGTCTCAACGGAAACATGACTATCCTTCGACATAGTCCAGCTACACGGTAACTCAAGAGCTCGCACATGAATAGTCTTTGGACTCTCCCGGGCTTCCTTGCCTGATTTGCGCATGTGTGCAATCTCTAAGAGCTATCACATTACATACTGAAAATAGGCGGGAAACTGCATATGTTCTTCTCTTCTGTCTTAATTGCATCGCGTTGATCTCAAAACAAAGACATTTGTATTGTAGAATCCATTATTATCTACGGAGTACCAGTGCAGCACATCGCCCGTTTGCGTAGACTAGCACAAAGCTAGTATCGTCACTAGCAAGAGGCCAGTATCATAACCAGCATAAAGCTAGTATCATCATCAGCACAAGGCTAATATCATCACCAGCACAAGGCTAGTATCCGAGACTACAATAATGCAGTATCATAGACCAGCAGAGCTGGTATCGTCACCAGCATAAGCCAGTATCATCACCAACATAAAGCCAGTATCATCACTAGCATAAGCCAGTATCAGGGACCACAATAATGCAGTATCATAGACTAGCAGAGCTAGTATCATCACCAGCATGAAGCCAGTATAAGGGACTAACACAGTTAGTATTAAGCAACCTGCATAGTTAGTTATCGTGGATCATGAAGATTGATATCATATACCCAGATTACCAGTATCAGTAGGAGCCGCGTCCTGGTCCACATCCACGGCCACGGGTTGTATGACCCAGATGGTGTCGATCAGAGGCACCTCTGATGGCCATGCCAAACCATGGCGGAATTGGATCGTAGATGGTGGCCGGCTGGCAGTCAGATTTTGACTATGTGTTTGCTCGTCGAGATCTTGGCTCAGTGTGCATGTATAAATATATCCTCGCATGAGGCACATTTGGCGGAGTCGGTTGTAAAGGCTGGGTTGTCTGTTGAGCAGCTCGAAGGCGTGTTACTACCTCTTGGGCTAGACTTTGCAGAAACGTATGTGGAATCGCAGCTGCCTCTGCCCGCTGAGCCCGCAGAGCGGCTCGATCGCCCGTCAATGCCTCCTGGGCCAAATTCTGCAGAGTGGTAGGTAGAGGTAGGCTTGCCCTTAGCGCTCGCAGAGTAGCTCGTTCTTCCGTGTAAGTCGCATTCTGCAGGGTCGTAGGAAGAGGCAAGGTTGCCCACCGAGCACGTAGTTCAGCTCGATCGACTGACGAAGTTGGAGACGTATTTTGCAAAGTCGTAGGTGAAGGCGAGACCGAGCTCTGAGCCTTCAAATCGGGTTGCTCGAATGACCGAGTCTGTGGCGCATTTTGCAGAGTTGTGGATAGAAGGGCGGCTGATCTCTGAGCCCGCAGTAGGTCTTGGAAAGCCTGATTAGGACGTGGTGGATCATGCTGGTCAGCTCGTTGGATCTCCCGAACCCAATTCACAAACTCCTCATTTCCCTGTTGTATTCCCTGTCGTATTTCCGATGGAAGAGGCAGCGACGCAAGGTAAGCGCGTCGGCTCTCAATGGAGCGTTCACATTGATCGGCGTGGTCTTGTTGTGTATGGTAGTCCAATTGTTGGACTGGGTTTGGAGGTTTTGCGGCATCGCTGCTGCCACGTGAGTCATCCATTTTCAAGTGGTGACTGGAGCGCGAAAAGATTGGGGAGGCTGCCGGTGTTTTGTTTCGAGCCGCCCAGACGCTAGCCAATTTTCACGCTAACCACAATTGGACGCTACCGCCTAATCATCTCAGAAGGTTTTGCTCTCTTAACTAACCCCACGTATCACAAAGGAAGTAGAAGAACACGAAGAATACACACCTCACCGATGACAATGTATCGGGGACGCCATTTAAGTAAGACGAAAGCCTGCGTTCCGATGCGTTGTTCAAAGACGACCAAGTATCGACTGGCCGAGTTCCAGCCCAGCATAAGCTGGATCATCTCTAAAAGCCCTATCCTCGCCTCTGACATCACGCCAACCGCGAAAACAACGCTTACCGTGCTGTAGCAACGATGAGCTCGTAATGCAGATAGGTGTATTTCATTGTAAAAAGATATGGAATGGCTGGATACCTTTCGCCTGGTGTCCAGCAGGTCCTTGAGGTATCCGAGCCGATGTTGTTGTACAAAAAGAGATTGTAACTGTCCGATTGAACTCCATGGTCTTCATCCATCAAACAAGTCGGCTATTGCCTCTGAATCTCCCACGGGCCTCGACCGTCGCTGCAGTGATATCTCTTTCGTTGTTCCCGTTGCCCGGGCGGACGCCTCGTGGATTAGCGTCATTACCACGAAGGTCTCTCGGAATGGCATCTCGTCGGCGGCCACGACCAGTGCCTGAGCTCATTCTCTGGCGGGCCTCGATGGTCTCTGCAGCAGCATCTCGTCGGCCGCAAGTTATGCCCGTACCGATTCTCCCAGGCTGGGCAGCAGCATCCCGACGGCAGCCACCTAGTGCAACTCTGAGGGGAGCGGCATCCCGAGGGTAGCCGCCACGACCTGGTGTAAGGTCCCTATTAGGAGAACCTCCAGGGTGTTTTATAAGGCCACGCTTGCTTCCGCCCCAACGTGAGCCACGATCTCGCACGGCCAAGTCGTCTGCCGGCTCGGGGGCGCGCTTGCCTCCCCATGGGACATTGTGACCTCGTTCGGCCAGGGCCGCGTCCGATATAGCGAGGCCGTCGGTGTCCGAACCACCTACCGGGGATCTGAGAGCTCGTTTGATAGGCTCGGCTTCTCGTCGATGGCCGCCAGGGCTGTTGATCTTGATTGCCTCAGCATCGCGCTTGGGAGTCCATGGCACTCCCTTTCCACGCGCAACCACGTCGTTCGATGCCTCTGCATCCGCATCTCGTCGATCATGACCTTTGCCGATGTCAAGTCTTCCAGGCTGGGCAGCAGCATCGCGGCGTTTGGGGCCCCCTCCTGGATTCTCCATAGACTGAGCAATGGGCTCGGCCTCTCGTCGATGACCACCACGAGAGCTGCTGATCCTGATCGGCTCAGCTTCACGTCGGTAACTGCCGCTGTAACTTGGGATAAGATCTCTCTTAGGAGAACCTCCAGGGTGTTTTATAAGGCCAAGATCTCGCTCGATCAAGTCATCCCGACGGCAGCCGCTACCTACTGGAATTTTGATGGGCTCAGCTTCGCGACGACTAGTGCCACCCCATCTTGCTGGCTCAGCTTCACGTCGGTAGCTGTCGCCGCGAGCTGAGATAAGGCCACGCTTGCTTCCACCCCAGCGTGATCCACGTTCTCGCTCGACCAAGTTGTCCGTCGGATCCCATAGGACAAGCTTACCACGCTTGGTCAGGCCCTCGTTCGATGTAGCGACGTCGCCGGTGTCTGCATCCGCATCTCGTCGATGACCACCGCAGCTGCTGAATTTGATCGGCTCGGCATCCCGACGTGTTCCGGTCGAGCCACTTGCTGGAGACCCGATAGCTGGCTCTGACTTACTCCCGAACCTCCCACGTGCCTCGAGGGCTTCAACTTCAGCCTCGGCCTCGGCCTCTCGTTTTCCTCGTCCGGTACTGGTATTGACCCTGCCACGAGCTTCAATAGACACCTCTTCGGCCTGGCTGCGTGCTTCCAAGGGCTCGATGAGAGTTATAGGGATCACATCACGTCGATGGCTTGCACTAGCAGACGAGATATCATGAAGTAATGTCTATACCCTATCAGCGAAGACCTGGGGATATGAACATCAGATAAAATACCTTGACGTCTGAGACAGGTGCTCCGAGGACAGCAAGAGAGAAGGAAAGCAACGCGGTGACTGCGTGCACGCGCATGATAGTATGAGTGGAAAGAAAGAGTATTGATCTACGGGAATTGAAGGTCCGTGCAAATTGGTTGCGGTTGAGTTGATAGAGCAATCGCCTACAGCGAAAGGGAATCGCCTGGTACTTTATCCATAGATCAGGCTCACCAAGTACGAGCATGTCTAGGATATCGCACGCCGTACTCATTTCCGCTACGCATTTAATGGCGCTTCGATCCGTGACTACGCCTCACCCTGATGAACGCCTTGGAAACTACTGATGCCAGGTCGATTGCATTGTCTAGGCACGCAGGATGATTTTGTTGTGTTGATCCGTATAACGATTGGAAGAGAGCCAAGAGAGCATAACGATCGCGGCACAAATCAGGCAGGCTGAAACCCAGTCACGTGAGCCTGAGACCGAAAACGCGTCGCAATGCAACATGCTGCTTCTCACAACTTCTATCACACCACATAATCACATTTCGAGCTTCCCGAGGGCTTCTCAAAAGGCGATTGTATAGATCTGGTGTCCATGCGTATCATATAGTCCAGAAGCCTACATCTAGGCATTGCTATTGAGTGTCTACACTTTTGTGCATTGCGTTGTTGCAGGCTCCAAAGTCAACTTGCACTTGCTTGTATTATTCTTTCCACAGCTTAAGGCAGTGCATGTCAAATCCAGCCACGTGGTGCTTGAACAGCAGGATGCGGTATTTGTGGCGACGCACTGAGATGGCTGTGACCAGACACCCTCCAACCCGACTTTGGCAGCAGCCTGATGCGAACCTTCTTCGTATCCCTCGCAGTGTGCCAAGTTGATGGTTCCTGGAATTGACCCTGAGTCTCCTTGGGCAGACTATAGATGAGAGTCGGCATGATCGATGTCTTCCAAACACCCGTTCCCGTGTCTCTTGCGGTTTTGATGATCGTCAAGACCAGAAAGATCAGGGACAGGAGGAGTAACAGGAATGGGAAACTGAGCCACTCCCACTGTATAGCAATGATGCTTTGTGGAGATAGAGCATCGCCCGAAATCATCTCTACGCTGACAGATGATCGGATGACGTTGGTCATGGCGGTTGCCAATCTCTCCATGTGGTGAGTGACGTTGTTGGGAAACAGAAGTGGATTGAATGCCAGCTTGCGCAAAGAGGGTCCATCGGGGTAGTTTTTGTATCGCAGGGCTGGCTTCTGTCCCTTGATAGCGGTGTAGTACGAAGGAAAGAAATCGTCGAATCCTATCATGATATTTGACGCGGTGGTATTAGACATGCTGAAGCTTTCGTATTCCGCAGTTGAGTTGGTACGGGTGGCAAGAGGCGGAGTGATCGTCACATCTTCATCAAAGATAGTCATGGTGCCATTTTCACTCTCCAGCTCCACCGGATAACTCTGCCATGGCCATGGCCACGGTTGATCTGTCGTGTTCAGGTAGACGGCCGATATCGTCTCACTATATTGACCCCACGCGTATGCTGATGCCACCGTCTTGACGCACCAAGCCAAAACGCATTCATGAGCAACAGGAGTTTCATTTCGATACACACTATCACGGCCGTCGGGCGCCGAGACAATGAGTGTGTCCAGGATTGGATTGCGAAGATGCCTGAAGTTGATCGAGCCGCCAAAGACCGGCGCCTTTGTCTGCATATCAGTCAATGGCATCACACGTACGAGCAGAGCCTCATCTGTTGGCTTTTCATTCCCACCACCAACAACATACCCCGACATCAGTACAGGCGATCTACTTGTTGCGTTCAAGAAGTAGCCACAGACTGTTCTCTCGGCGTATGAATCGTCATCGATTGGGCGAACATGTGTGGCGGTCCAGTCGACTTTCGTCTCTAAGCACGCGAATTGCAGTAAATTTGTCGCTTGTACACATTCGCTGCACACGCCTAAAGTTTCGTATGGGGGCCAGTTACAGATGCTAGTAGGACAAGAGAGTGGTATGTCGGGGCGTGTAGTGTTGGCAAAAGGCGTAGGGTGGGTCCCATTCCCTGCGAAGTACCGGCCAAAGAGGTCTCTGAAAGCGGGGTCCACGAAATTCGTCTCGAGTCCTTGAAAGGTTTCCGGTGCGTAGAGCGGCTCGTACTGCACTACCCTTGGTATCGATCCGGCGTTAGACTGTGTCATCCACTCGTCTGGGAAGCGGACAACTTGCTGAAAGAAGGTGTCGATCGCAAGAAGTAGTACAATTAAGAGCGCGCCGAGCGCCGCTAAAGAACGGCCCTTTGTCCGGAATAGTAACATTAGGGCACCCAAAGGTCCCCTGGAAGCTTTGTCGAATATCTCAAAATCCCACATAGCATTGGATCTATGGAACCAATGCCATTTCAGTTGACCGAGCGCCTCTGATGTTGGAACGATCAACGCAGCCGAAGAGACTTTACCTAAGACATTCGTCCAGGTGAGATAGGATCCGTCCAGCGACATGGGTTGGCCGTTGATTCGAAGGTAGATGCAGATGATCGCTATCATACACGATGCACTGAGCAACCAACTCATCATCTCGAATAGCCATCTCTTGAAGACGTTGTCCGACGAGTTGTACTCGGCTAACTTTCTCTCGATTCGTTGCGTGAAGTCGAGCGATGATTTCTCATGTTCTGAAGAGTCTAGCGACCCTGGCGCATGTCGTCCTTCATGTTGTCCGCGTTTTTGTGTCCACGAAGGTTGGTATCGTATCGCGTTTGGAATGGAAGCCATCTCGGTGAGACTCGCATAGATGAGGATCGGGCCGTGATGAGAAACACGAGACGCGAAGGGGGGTTTTCTCGCGGTAAGGCTGGTCGTTCGATCGCTGCTCGAGGGTAAGATGACAGCGCACCGGCGCCTAACAAGCTATACATCTTGAACTGCCGGCTGCGAATATGCCTTCAGTCATGGTAGAGTCGTGGCGCTAAGCTGCGCATCTTGATCTTCGACGTTGAGCGTGCGCTTCGTTATCGTGCGCCTATGGGAGCTTTGCTGTTAGCGCTGCGGCATACCAACTGGCTGGCAGCTACCGAGGGCGGGGACCGACATGGCCATGTCGCGTAGGCAAGTATAGCGACTTTAGATGCAGTCAAGATCGAGGATTTCCTGGTGACCGAAGACGGAAGATAGCTCTGGGACGAAGAGAAAAGACGTGAGGGCTCAGCGGGACGCGTTGGACGAGCTAGGGTTCAGCAAGCGAGATTGGGTCTGCGATGACGATAGCGCCAAAACCAGCCTTAGATGTGGCTATTCATCATAGATCACGTATTATGACAACTATATGAATTGGCTGTATTTGCATACTACGAGACATCTTGGTAGTTATATGAAGCCAGGTGGAGCTGTCGATGCGGGGTGCACCTGTCCCGACACTCTCCAGCCCTGCTTTGGCAAGAGTCTAATTCTAACCTTGCGGGGATCGTGAGGCGATGCGCTTTCCGAGCTTGTGGTCGAGATGCTATCCTTCCGCACATCTTGTGGTAGACCGTAGATCAACGTAGGCAGGGCTGAAGTCTTCCAAACCCCCGTCTCGGTATCATTCGACGTTTTGATGATGGTAGCGACCAAGAATACCAAACTCAGTAGTAGGAGAAGCAACGGAAATATGAGCCATGGCCAGTTGATGCGGACGAACTTCTCTCGATCGTATGCCTCACCGAGGAGCGCTTCAGTAGTCTTCGTGTTCGACCGCATAACGTTCGTGAGGGATGATGCCAGTCGTTCCATGTGGCGCGTAACGTTGCTTGGCGCTAGCCAGGGATTGAAGTCCATGAAGCGAGTAGCGGGTCCGTCAGGGTATTCTTTAAACCTCAATATAGGTTTTGAGCCCCTACCCGCAGCCGTGTAGGATGACGGGAAGAAATCGTCCCAGATGACCATGATCTGGAAAGCTGTCTCGTTCCACACAGAATAAGTGTTGTTGGTATCAGGATAATCCACGGCTGGCGCTTCGAGAGTGATGTTTGGCGAATACTCATACCAGTTGCCGTCGACTATCCATGGCCAAGGGACAGTATCAGTCGCAATGTTGAGGAATGTTGACTCGGTAGTTTGGCTGTATAGGCCCCACTCGTACGATGATCTTACTCGCTGAACGCACCAAGACAACATGCACTCGTGCACCACAGGAGGCTCGCGACCGTATACACTATCGATCCCGTTCGATGCTGATGCGACGAGACCGTCGGTGATCTAAAGATCGGTGTACAAAGTCAGCGTTTGTCTCACATACAGTTCGTACAAGGATGATACTGACGGGATAGCGAATGTCTTTGAATGCGAAGGAGCCAGTGCCGTAATAGGGTTCTTTCGTGTTCATGTCAGACAGAGGAATCGTGCGCACCAGCAAGACCTCATCAGTTGAGTTCGTGGTGCCGTTTTCGCTCACGACATGACCTGAGAGAAGTATCGGCGTAGCCGACGTAAGGTTGAGGAAATGACCGCAAACGTTCCCGACCGGGTATGGTACATCTGCTAGTGGGCCCTCCCATTTGACACTCCAATCAATTGTGGTATTCAGACAGGCATACGTGATGTTTAGATCGTGAGAAACATCCACGCAGCTGCTGCACGTCGCAAGGGTATCGTAAGTAGGCCAAGTGCATTTGCTAGAAGGACAGGAAAGCGGTATATCCGGGCGGAATCCACTTCCGAACGGAACGGGTATCGATCCGTTTCCGTAAAAGTAGCTTTTGATGACGGGGGAGGTGACCTCATCGTACATGGCTATCTCATCACCCTTGATGAAGTATTTGGAAAAATACGGACTATACGTCTTGACGATGGGAATGGAGCTTGGTGCCGTTTGCAGGGCCCAACGATCCGGGAATGTGACCACTTGCTGGAAAAAAGTGTCGATAGCAAGCAGCAACACAATTAGTAGGGCTCCTACAGAGGTAAAGATATGAAGTCAGTGTATTTCTCACATGGTTCGTACGGCCACAGCTTACCTAGGGCAGCCAGCGACCGTCCTTTTGTTCGAAAGAGGAGCAGCGTAGCGCCCCATGCACCTCGTGAGGCCTTGTCGAAGATTTCGAAATCCCACATAGCGTTCGATTTATGAAACCAATTCCATTTGAGCTGTCCAAGTGCTTCCGAGGTCGGCACGATGAGTGCAGCGGATGCTATCTTTCCTAGTGTGTTGGCCACCGTGAGGGACTGCTCGCTCTTGGTCATCTCCTGGCCGCTGACGGTGATATAGATTCCGATGACCGCGCCCATGCACACCGCGCTTATTAGCCAGCTGGCTAATTCAAAAAGCCACCTCTTGAAAACATTCTGGGATGCATTGTACGCGGCCAACTTCTTCTCTAGACGTTGTACCAGATCCAATGATCTCTTTCCGTTTTCGCCAGGGCTGGAAGATGGCGATATGTAGCGCTCATTGTTCTGGACGTCTTGCGGTAGCTGTCTTGAAGGTTCGTACTGCGGAAGTGTTGTCATTTGGTTGCGTGGGTGAGTTGAGATGGCAGATGGATAGCTAGGTGATCTGCTCATGGGAGATTTGTGGATCGATTGATGATGCCCAACGACTGGCGAGTGAATGCGACACGCTATCGCATCGATTGTATAGGCGTTTATGAGGTCCCGTTACCCCAGCTTTTAGTGGGAATGAGGTTGGTCCGGCAATTCCACGCTGTGGTGTATACACATCCTACGACTGAAGATAACCAGCCGCCGGATACACACTAAGCCTGCCAACAGGACATAAAAAGCCGCCGAAGCAACGGTTCTAGCGCTTAGCAGCTGCGACTCCATGGTCGTGCAGACTTGCCATGTCTACCTAGGTAACCATGTTGATCCTGCGTGTGGCTTGGCGGTAGGAGCCAATGACACCGGTCGGTCTACCGCTGGCTTTGACGCCGACTAGATATGCGGAGATGTTGTCGCAACACAGACGCGCTCATGCCAGGCTCGTTGTCATGTTGCGCTGTTGCGCAGAGAATCGAGCATATTGGCTGCATGAGCGATTGGTACCGAGCCTCACATGCCTTTTGCGTACGACTGGATCACATGCCAATCTTGGCGCGCACTTTGAAAAACTTCATCATTTTCGTGTGTATAACGAGCAAGACTTTGTGGCTATATAAAACCAGGTGGAGCTGTCGGCGCGGGCTGAACTATACCAGAGACTCTCCAGCCTTGTTTTGGCAAGAGCCTGATCCTAACCTTCTTCGACCTTCTATGCAAGGTGCGCGTTGATGCTGCCGGTGTCTTGAGTTCCTGTTGAAGGTCTTTTGGCAGGCTGTATATCAGCGTCGGCATGGCGGAAGTCTTCCAGTTGCCGATATCATCGTATGCGTGTTGTGAAGTCTTGATCATTGTAGCCACCAAGAATGCGATGCTTAGGAAAAGGAGAAGCAGAGGAAATGTAAGCCAACCCCAATGAACCACCACATAAGTCTCTGGGGATGAGGCGCTTCCAACGATGAGCTCATTGCTGTTAGCATCAGACCTGACTGCGTTCGTTAGAGCATGTGCTATCCTTTCCATGTGGTAGGTGACGTTATTGGGAGCAAGCCATGGGTTGAACCGAACTTCTCGAAACATGACCTGATCGATGAAGCTAGTTCTGATCTTCAGATATGGCTTGGCCGATGGCTCGGTGACAGTAATCAGGGAGGGGAACACTTCGTCCAGAACAAAGATTGTGTTCATGAACGTCTCGTTTGAGACGCCATAAGTGGTCGTATAGTTGTCGTTGGTAGGTGGAGTTATCGTGATATTTGCATCAAACTCAGTCAGCGTCATGCCAAGCCCCACACTCTCGCCCCACCATGGGTATTTGATCTGTGTCGTGTTGGTAAAGGTCTCGATGACCTCCTCTTTGTAACCTCCTCGTGCGTATGAGGAGCGAAGTGTCTTTACACACCAGGATAAGACACATTCGTGAGCCACTGGGAGGGCTTTGCGATAGACGCTCTCGGAGGAGCCATCCGCTGCGCTTACGATTATCGCATCGATGATAGGATAGTTCATGTGCTTGAAGTTGATAGAACCCCCGTACAGTGGTGACCTCAAAGGGTTTGTGACGAGCGGTAGCGTGCGCATGAGAAGGGTCTCTCCATAAGGGGAATCCGTGCTGTTTTCGACTCTGTACCCGGACATCAGGACAGGCAGTGAACTCGTCGCGTTCAGGAAATAGCCACAGGCAGTACCTACACAACGACAATGTTAGCCTTAGTCAACTTTATCTTGCATAGGTTGGTCGGCGGCCTTGCTTGGCATGGCCGAGACTGATAGTCGATGATGAAAGGCTCATCTCACCATTGGGATATGTATCCTCCGTCCCAGGACCAGTTGAGTTTCTAATCCAGTCCATCTTCATGGAAAGACAATCATACTCAAGCAGGTGTGACACGTCTTCGCAGGCACTGCAGACTCCCAAAGACTGATAGGCCGGCCACTCACATCTACTAGTTGGACACACTAGTGGTATCTCAGCCTGAGGACCACCCTCGGTGAGAAACGGACGTGTGCCATTTTGGTCAAAGAAAAATGGATCCAGGGCCCTCTTGAGGTCTTGGTTCATCGTGGCCACGGGTTCATTGTCCCAGGTGCTGTCGTATGTAAGGGCGAGGGAAGGGGTATATCGTACGGTTCGTGGAATCGAGCTGTTGCCCTGTAGCTTCCAACGCTCATTGAGGTCGGTAACCTGCTGGAAGAAAGTATCAATCGCAAGTAGCAGGACTGTCAACAGTGCACCTAGTGCGGCAAGTGATTTGCCCTTCGTTCGGCACAGGAGCATGAACGATCCCCATGCACCGCGCGATGCTTTGTCAAATATCTCGAAGTCGAATGCGTCTCTGGACTTCTTCCCGTGGAACCAGGTCCATTTCAGCTGCCCGATAGCCTCCGATATAGGCAGAATGAGTGCTGCCGAGGCGATCTTCGAAAGAACCGTGATTATCGTCAGGCCTGCAGGCCATTTGTTGTGGGCTTGATCGTGGAGATAATAGAGTAACCCGATAATTGTGCCTGCACCCTGAGTTAGCATACATATTAGGCCGATATGGTGCCAGCTCACCCATGCAGATAGCACTTATCGCCACACTGATGATCTCGAACAGCCAGCGTTTGTAAACATTCTGCGAAGCATTGTAGTGCGCTAGCTTTCGCTCTATGCGCCCGGGGAAGTCGAGACGATGCTTCTCGTGGACAGATGCTCGATAGGATGGCGGAGGTGGTATATTCAGGCCTTCATTCGGGGATGACGAATGCAAGTGTCGCGATTGCACGAGTGTAAGAGGTAAAAGTCCTCCGTGTTGTCGTGACATTGTGCGCATGTTCCGTTGACGAGATCTGAAGCACACATGAGCGGTCAAGAGGTGACGCCCTGAAAGCGGTGCTAGAGTTAATCATTGGTAGCCTCCTGTGGTATGTCAATTGAATCAACAATCGAGCGCTTAACGGCCGAACATTCTGCAGCTCGTGTAGAAAGCGCGACATCGTTACTGGCTTGCTTCCTAGGGCAGGTCATGATTGCCAGGTGTGCATGTAGAAATGACCTGAGTGTTGGCGATGCGAAAGCTTCTGTGTCTGCCCAGCATCACCGTTAGACCTGTCAGAGTGGGGGGTTTAGCGCCCACAGCAGGTTGCGCGGGGATAAGGTCTTATCAAACCATGAGGCCGAGATTGTGGTAGCGCTGAGCTTAGCGTTCCCGCAGCTACTGCGTATTGAACCGTTCGAGGCCACATCAAGCAGTAAGAACGATGAGCAGTTTAAGCGCTGGGGTTGAGCTGTCATCGTGGGTTGGCGGGCACGCGGGCACTAGGCAGAGCGCAAGGCGGTCTGTTCGAGGCAAGGGGGGCCGATCTTGGGAAGCGAGCTATGGAGCCGAAGCTGCCCCGAAGACTCGGTGAGCTTGCACTTTTTGAGCCGTGGTCATCTCTTCTCTAGATGCACGTACTTTGTTCTGCGATCTCGATACACTACTTGAGTATACAGTGATCATATTTGGGGTGGGTATGTACCGGAATGTTCTAGCTCTCATCGCATGCAGAAGATGTTGTTATTGGCATGTACGGGTATGTTTTTCTATTTCCAAGAACCATCGAGATGAGGGCGCAGGCAAGAGCAGTGTCAGAGTATTCGTTTAGGCATCATTTCTTGCTCGACTGGTGAAGCAGATCTCGTGTATTGAATACATATTGAGTGAAGCGTGTTTGAAAGCCGCGCGGCGAGGGATTACTTAGGTAGATGTAGACGATGCACAGGTGTACAAAGACATATACTGCGCCGCAACGTGGGTGCATAATGTTGAAAAAGATCCGAATGCGCGCAATCCGGTAATACCACCTAATTTAGATTGCATGTTTGCGAACCCCCATTTCCATGGACTTCCTTATAGTTGTGTCTACCCGCAGTAAGTATCATTACCTAGGTACCGGATGCACATTGATGCGATAGCTGTCTTCCGTACCCCGAAAGCTCGTGGAAGACGGGAAAGTGCGGAGGCCTCAATCCCGTGTAAGTGTAGATACTCGCTTCACGACGCCATGTGGCTGCCCAGGCGGTCATCGAGTCGGCCACAAAGGGCCAAGTACCAAGGTAGGCTGATCCGACAACCTTGAACGGCCGGAAACTTGGGACCTAGGGGCGATCGATATCACCATGCATGGGCAATGTGATGGACTGCGCATAGGGCTCGAAGACAGCCTCCGGGATTGCTGGGCGTGTGTTGCACAGTAATGGCTTTAAGACAGAGGTAAACAAAGTGACATAGCCGCATGAAGGTTGGCGTTGATAAGGTTTACACACACGCAGCGTCCGTTTCAGAGAGCCCTGGTGTCGTCAGTCTAGATCCCGGGGGGCGCTTAATCCCTACCCGCAATTGGTGAAGCTCCTTGTACTGTCTACGGGTACCTGAATCAAGTCTCTACATCGATGCGAAGCTGACGCAATGGCATGAGTACAGCGTGGTGGACGTCATTACCAGCTGAACTTTACATGGGCCTCCAATTCACAGGACTGGCCGGTAATTAGGGGTTTGTTTGCATGCATCGCAATGGAATCCAACTCAACGCCGCCTACAGTCGCTTGGCAGGGGTCCGAACGTCCGAACTTTACGACAGATTCTTGCAAAGACACGAGCTCAAAAAGACACTCGAGAGCGTAGTTGCGTCGCAAACAGAGTGTATTGAATGTCTATCAAAATGGGCCAAAGAGATTGGAGGAAGCGTAACGCCGGAAAGTATCACGTGTGGAAAGAATCTGTGAGTCGGTCGCAAGAACGGTTGATGGGCGTGAGGTACCGATCGCGTAGAGCCAATCGCTTCAACTCCCCGGCTAAGTCCAAAACGCCGCCAAGCCACATCACATCGATAAATCCTTTTGATTGGTTAGAAATCATTCGGGCAGTTGACGAGAACTACAGCAATTACAGGTGATGAATCGTACTTACAGGATCTCGACCTTACGGACAGGATCGCCTTGTAGAAAGCCCTGCCCTTTCGAGCGCTTCGAATGTGATATCCCGTGTGATGAAATCGCAGAATTCTCCTGATCCATTGCGATGCGTTCTCATGCCACCACAAGCTCGCGGCCTAACGCCTTGTGTTCCAACGCGTCGGTCTTTGCGTTTCACCTTGCCTCATTCGTGGTCCAGCTATCATGCTCGCCGTTCTACCTCCCAATGGTTGCACAACTTCGCGTGATGCGCGCATTGTGCCTGCGGTGCCATGCCCTTGGGACTGCATCTGTGGCTTCGGAGGCGGTTACGAGGGTGAGAGTCACCACGGGTTGAAGCGCCGGTGACCAGGGAGTGGAGATGAGCCCGTTGTGGAGGGTGGCTCACAATGTCGTCGTTATGGTTTGATGTTGATGGATAAATGCACCGACATCTCCCCCCGTCAAGGTATCATCCTCCTTGTGACAGACAGTCGAACCACCTCTTTGATACATTCATCCCTTACCGGACAGCCACCTAGTCTTTCCGTTGCCGTCTCTTATTAGCGTCGTCCAAAGACCCAACTGTTACATACGTCATCATGCGCGGCACTACCGTCCTCGTGTTTGCGTCGTTCATTCTTCCGATTCTTGCTGGTCCGGTACCAGTTCCAGACGTTAGTGACATCATGTCAAGCCAACAAGCCTATGAACTAACTCTTGTAGCAGATTGTCGACACGGTCGTCAGCCGCACATCAACAAAGATCCTCGATGGCCGAACACCTCTTATCGAAGCTATCCCAGTGCAAGGTCGCTCAGCGGTGACCATCGAGCGCGAAGTCGAGACAGAACCTGAGTCTAGTGTTCTACTTGCCGAGCGTATGATCCGGGGCGGCAGAGGGCGTGGTGGTGATAAGAGATCAGTTGATGAGAGGGCCACTCGTGGCGGTCGCGGGCGTGGTGGTGACAAGAGATCTGTCGATGAGAGAGCCACTCGTGGCGGTCGTGGACGTGGTGGTGACAAGAGATCTGTCGATGAGAGAGCCACTCGTGGCGGTCGTGGACGTGGTGGTGACAAGAGGTCGGTTGATGAGAGAGCCATTCGAGGTGGCAAGGGCGACAAGAGATCGGTGGATGAGAGAGCTATTCGAGGAGGCAAAGGCGACAGGAGGTCGGTTGATGAGAGGGCCATTCGGGGAGGCAAGGGCGACAGGAGGTCGTTGATGAACCGGTCCATTTGGGGAGGCAGAGGACGCGGAGGCGACTAAGGAATGACCATGGTGGTGTCCGTTGAGCGAGTCTCGCGGCGATTACTTTCCTGAAGCCTTGTGATTCTCAAACCCCGATCATTGACGGCTGCAAGTACGGTCGACATGGGAGGTAATTTTGTATAACAATTTCGTAATATTTCTTCTTGGAGGGACTGGCTATTCATATCCATCCCGGGGGCGGAAGGTTGGGTTTCGGCTTGGGTACGAAAGGAGAGAAAAGATTTCCAGACACCCGCCAGCCCTGGTTAGGTTGCAATCTTACTTTTAGCTCCTTAGCTCTAGCTCTCGGTGTCCCAGAACTCCCAGATCTCGTGATCTTTTGTTGCATCTCATCCGGTAAACCATAGAGTAAAGTGGCATACGCCGAAGTCTTCCACACTCCAACGCGATCGCGTTCAACAGCGGACTTTGCAACAGTTGCCGCAAGAAAAATGAAAGAAATACACAGCAGACCGATAGGAAGAGTAAGCCATTCCCAGCGCACAGAAACATAATTCTCCCTGGTGTAAGCGTCGCCTAGGGTCATGACTTTGTTATCCGACGATCTCACAACATTCGTCAAAACTTTGGCCAATCTCTCCATGTGTCGAGTGAGATTATTGGAAGCTAGCCATGGATTCTCTTCGAATGTCCGTACTGATGGGCCGTCGAAGTAGTTCTTGTACCTTAGCAAAGCTTCTGAAGACCCATCTTCTAGAGTGTAGTATGAAGGGAAGAAGTCGTCGAAAACACCCATAGTCTTGTATGCCGTTATATTATCGACTCTGTATGTGTTGTCGTATGCCGTTGTGTTCAGTCGGTGTAAACGTGATGGGGGCGGCTTGAGCGTGATGTTTTGAGTGTAGATAAGGTCTTGGCCAGTCTCAGCTTCATAGACCTCCCATGGCCATGAGAACGGCTCGTCAGGTGTATTCAGATACGTGGCAGTAACATTCTCGGTGTACTTTCCCCAGTCATAGGCCGACTTGATGCTTTGAACGCACCATGACAGGATGCACTCATGTACCACAGGTGTATCGTTGCGGAACACGCTTGCTGGGCCGTCAATTGCTGATGCAATTAGAGCGTCGAGGATCGGATTGCGGATGTCTTTGTATTTCACGGAACCGACGCCGTAGAGTGGCTCCTTGGTGTCGAAATCTGAAAGAGGTATTGTCCTGGCAATCAAGGCCTCGTTGGTCACATTCTGTGACTCGTCGGCATGCGCAACATACCCAGAGAGCAGAATAGGCGCAGCACTTGTGATGTTGAGAAAGTATCCACACACTGTCCCATTCGGGTAGGGCACCTCGTCCAATGGCCCTTGCCAAGTAGCAGTCCAATCCACAGTAGTGTCTACTAGACAGTCGAATTTGATGTCCAGGAGATGAG